TACATTAGGGTAATATATTTATTAACAAATTAATAGATTCACTGGATTAATAAGTATATTTTTAATTTTAATGTTAAATATATTTAAATACACTCAATAATTTATTATTAATAAATTAATGTTGATATTTAATGTATTATTTGATATATTTATTGGATGAATAAGTGTGTTACATATTTAATTTTAATGTCAAATATATAATTAGAATATGTGATAGTGATATTTTAATATACTATTAATAAATTAATATTAATATCAAGGACATTGTTGAACTTTAAGATAAGTATATTATTAAAATTATTTTCTCCCATGATTTGAAGAAGCCTAGCAAAAAAAGATAAAATCAAAATTATTTTCACCTGTTTTTTTTTTTCTGATGTGGCTACTAGAAAGTTTTCATTACTTACGTGGCTTGCATTATATTTTTATTGGACAGCTGCTGTAACATGTGCATTTTATACTGTAATTCTAATACATCTGCCTTCATCAAATTCAGCGGATTTTCTTTGTATCTTACAACACCTAATACAAACACAGAGCTGGCAACCTGCAGATGCACTTGTTAGTCATATTCAGCCCTTGCCGTCTAGGAATTCCAGTGGGCAGGGAAGACCCGGAAAACAATGCTCAGTGCCAGAGGAAGGGTTTGCCCTCTGTCCTGTGGGCCCATGAGAAATCATGCTAGTTACTAGGTTAGTGCAAAAGTAATTGTGGTTTTTGCTATTGTAAGTAATGGCAAAACCCACAATTACTTTTGCACCAACCTAATACATGATGATGTCAGGGAGAACTTTATAAAGCAGGTGACGTGATCCAAGAGCCTCCAGAGGAAATGTCTCCTGGGGGCTTGCATTTGGATCTCTATCCACCCCACCCCCGCTTCCCACATAAGGCTCATGTTTGTAGGGTGTGGGGTACAGTGGCGTTACCTGGCCGGGTCTGCTTGCAGATTTGCATACAGCAGGGCTGGAAACCCCCGAGAGGCCGCTTTGATGTCCTGCCGCTCCTGCTTCAGGCCAACGGCAATGACCCTGAGCTCTTCCAGATTCCTCCAGAGCTGGTGTTGGAAGTTCCCATCAGGCACCCCAAGTAAGAGGGACCGGCAAGGGGTGGGAGAGGGTGAGTGGGTTTGCCCAGTGCCCCTCTTTGCCCAGCCCCATCCCCCCTGGCTTTCTTTCTAGTCCAGACAGAAGCTGAAAGGGGAAAGGAGGGCTTGGTTCCTGTCCTCACTGCGGGCTTGGGCAGAGTGAGTTCCCTCAAGGAGCAAAAAGACCTCTTTGACCAGCCTGGAGACCACCACCTTTTCTGAACCATCTCACTCCTAAGCCATTAACAAGGACCTG